TCAAATAGTGGGGGGGCGTGGTGCGATGACAGGGGGGCTCACTATTTGGAGGGAGTGCGCGTGACCGTGGGACACTTATTGTTTTTTTATGTACGTGGAACTGGATTCCACATGCTCTGGTGCTGCATGAAGGGACTGATTCCCATGTGACCAGCGCTGACAGGACAAGTGCGGATCTTTGCGCAACCTGTGGACGCGATAAATCCACCGCTGTGAGAGAAACACAGCTGAATTATGTGAGCCTCTGGAAGTGTCCCCCATGTCTCCACCTGTCGCCCTGAAACTAAAACTCACTAAATTAAAGCTGGGGTACCTACATTTCCCGTGCATTCATAATACATGTTGCTCCTCTCCCTCTTTGACCTGCTCCTCTCCTGCACTGACTTATAAAGTTGTGGTCACATCATTTGCAACAGGAGTTTTCAGCTCTGAGTGGTTGTGTTTTCTGAATGACACCAGGTCTGTTCATTGTGTTCAAGTTTTGCTGACAGTGGGAGACATTTTTCATCACATGAGCCTCACAATGATTATAGGAGCAGAGATACATGCAAAAAGTGTTTTAGCAAAGGAAAAATGTGTTTTAGCAAAGGAAAAATGTGTTTTACCAAAAGTAAAATGTGTTTAGAGTTTTGAGAAAAAGGGCACGTGTTTTGTGAACAGTGTCTACAGGAGAATTGTGATGAAGCTCTTCGCGAAAGTTCACTGTGGTAGACCCGGCCGCTGCTACAAGCCTGCTCATCCTCTACTCATTACACCAGCAAAACGCCCACATCCAATCCACCAATAACCACCAGGACAGCAAGTTAAAAGCCGGAGACGCCCACTTCCTGGCCTTCTGAAGTCTGCAAACTTCTGAAGCCTGCAAGATGCATGTCGCTAACGCACCTGTTCGCAAATGCATGCGTTGTTCTGGAGGGGTCGCTTCTGCTCACGTGCTGCTCGTGCGCGTGGCCCGGCTGTCCTCAGTCTGGCTGCTCGTGGTCTGCTCCTCCTCGGCGTCCCTGCACCTGCTGTGGTTCACGTGTCTCCACTGCTCTCCTCCTCTGTGGGCTGATCCGCGGGGCCCCTCCGCGGGGCCCCTCTGCAGGTTCTGTGCTGCTCGTTCCTCGTGGTCTGCTGCCGCGCGCAGACGGTCTGGCCAGTGTTGCCAACTCCTCAGTAAGGAAAGTAGCTATTGGCTGTCCCAAAAGTCGCTAGAAGTCGCTAAATGACGTCATCGCCTAATTTGCATAATTTGCCATTTGCAAATAACTGTAACGGACGCTGTAGGAGAGAGGAATAAGGTCGTGGGAGAGACAAAAGTGAGTAAAAACACCCTAAATATGTTTAGAACTACAAATGTACAAAAATAATTTCAACATTAACAACATTTAATGATTTTAATGCTTTGTCTAGATCCACATTACACACATCAGTTTTGTCCTGTATTGTTAAATGTTATAACAGCAAATGTAATCAAAAGATTGTTATGTAGGGTGAAATTGCTAGCTCTACAACCAACCCTCCTCCTTTATCCGGGCTTGGGACCGGCAAAGTGACCCAAAAGACACACTCTGGCAGAGTTACTTAGGTTTATTTTTGTAAGTTTTTTTTTTTTTTCATAGTTTGGCATAACAAATGATTTAATGTGACCCACTACTGAGAGAAAACAGAGTCACGGACAGAGCTGCCGCGGATGGAGTGGGGGGTAGTGGGGGGTGGCGGTGGTAGGAGTGGCCGGGGAGCTTTGGATGTGTGGTGGTGGTGGAGCTGAAGTTCAGTCTGCAGCAGCCTGAAAACTTCCTGTGCTTTTGAGTCTCCTCTCTCTCTCTCTGCTCCGCCCATAGACTGTAGCTGGGACTGCTGCGCAAGGCTACTGTGAGACTGGCCGCCTGTAAGTGCTTTGGGACGGGGGAGGGGCTCACGTTGAGGACAGCAGAACAATACGTGCTTCACGAGTCTCTAAAACACCAGATAAGTCGCCAAAACACCAGATAAGTCGCCAATAACACCAGAAAAAGTCGCTAGATTTGTCGCTAGTCGCTTTTTTGAAAAAAAGTCGCTATAGGGGTCTGAAAAGTCGCTAAATCTAGCGACAAAGTCGCTAAGTTGGCAACACTGGGTCTGGCGGTGCCGTGTTGTCCCGTTGCTTTCCCAAGTCTCCTGGCATGTGAGTACAGTGGAAATTAAATGTTTTTATTTTGAGTTCAATACATAACTTAGTTTTTTAAAATACAGGTATATTGTAAATCTAAGTATCAACTCGAAAAGGAGAGAGAAGTAAAAAAGGTATATATGATAAAAATCATATGCCTAAACATCTATTTTTTTCCCCTTGTGTTTTTATCAAAAATAAAACCTTTTTGTATTTAGCAAATATGTCTCCATCCTCGTTCATAAATTAACCACGGTATATACGGATTTACTGACAAACATAATGTATATAATGTAAATAGTAGTATAAGTTTGTGGTAGGAAATCGTAACTTTTGAACCCCTTTTATGCATGTGTACAGACAAATGAATGAAACAAAGTCTTGATACGATCACAGATTTATTAAAAACAAAAGTAAAGTGCAAAACCAACAATTTACAAAGTCCAAAGTACGTTTGAGACCAGGTCCCAAATATGAAGTACTCCGGTCACTCATTGCTCGTTTGTAATCTCCTCACTTGTGGGAAGGGATTCTCGAACAAATAAATATACACACAACTTAAGTACAAGCACAAAACAGAATGGCAAAACGTGAAATAGCAAAATCCAGCACACTAGTGCAGGAAGGACATTTTAGATTAGATTGCTATCGATAGCTAAATGTTGCTAGCTCACTATGTACAACCGACTATTGTGGTATCTTCCCCTCAGCAAAAGATGGGGTTTCCCGCACAAACTATGTAGTGTTGGAGAAGGAATGCACTTTGAGTTATGTATTAAAGAAAGAGTTTAATGGCATAATCAGAATACATCAAGTCAAATTCAGGCTTACCGCTTTCAGCCTGGGTCAGCTCCGAAAATGAGGATGGTAAGAATGACAAAGAACACACTAAGCACAGAGCTCTTATGGATGCGCTATGGCAGGATGTAATAAATACTGTACACGTCATTCAATAATATTGTAGACTAGTCCTGGTTAATCTCCATATCTCTGAGTCTGTCTTCCCTGAGGGTCTCTCTACTGGCTCTTATTGTCCTTCCAGATGTCCACAGCCCATTGATCCCAGAGAAGGGTCAGTAGAGTCAGCTGTCTCTCCAATTGGGCCCAAATGTTCTAAACACTATTTTATACATACTGAAGATACATGAATATGTGTATGGGTTATAATAGCAGATACTACACTATCAAACATTTTGGGCCAATGGGACACGTAGCTAACCAGTTATTTCCAGGATTACCACAGACATAAGTCACAAATCAAGAGCTGGGCAATCTCCCTGAAAACCTTGTTCCGTGTTGTGCGTTCGAGCTGCCTTTGAATTCTTTCTTCGGCCTAAAGAGAGTAACGTGGACCTCCTCGACCGACCAGAACGCTGACTGTTGGAGCTTTCTGTGTGATTCCATTTCTCTGGAGTGAGGAATACGTTATTAAAATAGATCCATGGGAGGACATATTGAAGCAGAGAAGCCGTTTTTAAAGATGGCAGGGATTGGGTTGTTTTTAACATAGGGTTCATAGGGTTTATTTATACAACAATCAAAACGGTTAAATAAGTAAGTAATGTTTATTTATATAGCGCATTTTATAGACCAAGGTCACCCAAAGCGCTTTACAATGTTCAGAGTTCAGATATTGTTCCAATCATTCCACACACAGTGATGACGGAAGCAAGACGCAAAACACACTGGACCATCGGCTCCAATTAACACCATCCATTCACTCTCTCATTTACATTCATACCTATTGTGCATGTTTTTAGTGGTAGGGGAAACCAGAGCACCTGGAGGAAACCTACGCAGACACGGGGAGAACATGCAAACTCCACTCAGAAAGAACCTGTTCCAACCGGGATTCGAACCCAGGACCTTCTTGCTTAGAGGGGAGAGTGCTATCCATTTGCTGAGTGGCTGACTATCCACCGTGCCAAGGAGAGTGGACAGCACTCAGTCAATTAAAATGATCGTATCAAACTACATTCTCTCATTGTGATGTTTAAAGCCAAATTCTCTTTCTGCAGAATCTGTACAAAATCTTTTTCTCTCTCAAATCCAACCAGGGCAGAATGAAACAACACTTCTCTGTCCCTTTGGCCAGAACCAGAAACACATGGGAAAATTAACGGCTGGAGTCAAACTGTGGAATCAACTCTAATATGAAATAAAAAGTTGTGCAAACATAATCATTTAGCAATAAACAGACATTAAGAAAAGGGCAGGCAACATGATATGTTTCCTTCTCTCTACTCACCACAATTATTTGAAATGCAACTGTAAAATGTGGTGTATTGTCATGTCTTCAATTTAAATAAACAACATAAATAAACCCCTAAAAATGTTCTGGAGTGAGGTATTCTTCTTCCTGATTGGTTCTTCTCCTCAGTGTTTACTTCAGGAAAGTGAATCCAAAGTGAACAGACATGAGTCCAAATCTTCTGTGGGCGTGGCTTCTGTTTTCGTCCAATCAGAGCTCTCCAGCTGTTCTTTATAAACTCATGCCAATCAATGCAGCTGTGTTTCTTCACCTCTGCCTGTGGATCGACTGACTGGGTCTTTTCTCTGGGAAACTGGTGAAATGGCAGCTCTTTGGATCCTGTGTCTCTTTTTCCTTGGAACAGCCCACGGTTCGTCAGATTGTTACATTTCATTGTGTTGAACAATTGCTAAATAAATAGTTTTTGTTCATTAGTTGGCAGCTGTGATGAAAGCCAGAATGAAATCCATTATGGTGCAAAAGGTAACATTGGCATTATTTTATTTATGAATATATTTACATTGTATAGAATGAGTGTTTGAGCTGTTGCTGTAGGTTCTGAGTCCTCTGACACTAAACCCGTGAAGAATTCCGTGGTTCAGCACCTGGCTGCCAATGCTACACAGGGTGAGTTCATGCAGATTTGAAATTATTTTACATTAAAACTCAGCCAAAAACGTTCAGAAATGTCAAGATGTAAAACTGTATAGCGGTGTTCAGCAGTAAACATGTGCTTCTCATGTCTTTGCAGAACAATTGATAAACAATGAAGTGGAAACGGGAGCAGAGCACGTGGTCAAGAAGCACATCTTGCAAATTGACCTAGTACATGATGAAGCTGAGGTGTGTAGACATCCTTCAACTCTACTTTACCCTTTGAGCTTTGAGTATCACAAATATTCTAACGTTGCTGCTTCCTTGGTCACAGCACTTTTAAGATATGAAATCCTTTCCTTTAAGGTTTAGCATGATCCTAATAGTTCTGTAAGGGGAGCATTATATTAAAACTATTTGACCCTTAAAATTAAGGCTGAAGGGCTGTTTCTTCATTAGTATCATGTACAGTATTGACACACAGAAAGTTGGTCTAAATTCACTGTTTTGTCTCGAAGAACGTGACGGCGCTATCCGACTCTGCCTCCACGAACGTGACGGCGCTATCCGACTCTGCCTCCACGAACGTGACGGCGCTCTCCGACTCTGCCTCCACGAACTCCACGGCGCACTCCGACCAGGCCTCCACGAACGCGACAGCGCTCTCCGACTCTGCCTCCACGAACGCGACGGCGCTCTCCGACCAGGCCTCAAAGAACGCGACGGCGCTCTCCGACAAAGCCTCAAAGAACGCGACGGCGCTCTCCGACCAGGCCTCAAAGAACGCGACGGCGCTCTCCGACCAGGCCTCAAAGAACGCGACGGCGCTCTCCGACCAGGCCTCAAAGAACGCGACGGCGCTCTCCGACCAGGCCTCCAAGAACGCGACGGCGCTCTCCGACCAGGCCTCCAAGAACGTGACGGCGCACTCCGACCAGGCCTCCAAGAACGTGACGGCGCACTCCGACCAGGCCTCCAAGAACGTGACGGCGCACTCCGACCAGGCCTCCAAGAACGTGACGGCGCACTCCGACCAGGCCTCCAAGAACGTGACGGCGCACTCCGACCAGGCCTCCAAGAACGTGACGGCGCACTCCGACCAGGCCTCCAAGAACGCGACGGCGCACTCGTCTGAGGAAATGGTAAAACGGCAAAAACGTGAAACATTCTTCAGACGAGCTAGTCATTCCGCATTGAAGCTTTTTAATAAAATGTTTTACTAAATAATGAATTTACAGCAGTGTTCTTTTTTTCCCCACAATGTTGCTGTGGTTTCATACTTGGCTTATTTCAAAGTACAGGGAACGTGACTTGCATGCATTTGTAAGTAAAAACCATAATGTCATGGTTGCAAGAGAACCAGAAATTGGCTCAGGCTACACTGAACTATGGGGCAGGGTGTATATTGCCCCTCTACATCAAATCTCGTTTTGATGGCACTAAAACTCAGTAATTTCCCACTACATTTATTATCCCTACAAAACACCAGGTGCAGTAGCCCGGCTGGTGCAACGGAAACCAAGTATCGGCTCCCTCATATTGAAGCCCAGCTGAGGGAAGCTTGGGAAAACGGATGTTGCTGCAGTTCTTCATGGCCATAGTTAATCCTCACCTCCACCGTGTGATTTGCTGGAGACTGTCAGGGACAAAGACTACAGCTCTGCTGCGACGGTGATCAGGCACAGCCTTCCAGCATGGAAGTACCTAGTAAGCTCGCGGCTGGGCTGGTCTCACCACTGCTTTAATGTGATCTGATCCCATATCACCCAGAAGGTTTTTGTATAGCACAGTTCATTCAGACGGCAACTCCATGTGTTGAATAAAAACCACCACACAAGACAGAGCATAAACACATAAAGAGAAGATACAATCCCTCAGTGGGACTGGAGAAGAGACTTTGGTCAAAACTTGGATTGAGGAGCAGTGTGATTTTAGTCCCTACCACGGAACACTAGACCAGCTCTATACTCATCGGTTACTCGAGGGTTCATAGGAGTTCGCCCAACCTGTCCACATGTGCTTTGTGGATTTGGAGAAGGCGTTTGACCATGTTCCCCGGGGTGTCCTTTTGGGGGTTCTCCGGGAGTATGGGATCCGGGGTCTGTACGACCGGAGCCTGAGCTGTGTTCGCTTTGCCGACAGTAAGTCAGACCTGTTCCCGGTGCATGTTGGCCTCCACCAAGGCTGCCCTTTGTCACTGGTTCTGTTCACCGTCTTTATGGACAGAATTTCTAGGCGCCGGTTCGGGGACCACATGGTTTCATGTCTGTTTGCGAATGATGTCCTGTTGGCTCCAACGAACCAGGACCTGCAACATAGCCTGGGATGAGAATCAGCTCCTCCAAATCCGAGGCCATGGTGCTCGACCGGAAAAAAGTGCCACCTCTCCAGGTGGGCGGAGAGGTCCTTCCTCAAGTGGAGCAGTTCAAGTATCTCGGGGTCTTGTTCACGAGTGAGGGAAGATTGGATCTTGAGATTGAAGGAGGATAGGTGCAGTGTGCGCTGCGATGTGGTCGCTGTGATGCGGTCGCTGTGATGCGGTTGCTGTATCGGACCTTTTTGGTAAAGAGGGAGCTGAGCCGAAAGGCAAAGCTCTCGATTTATCGGTCAATCTTCGGTCCCTCCCTCACCTCTGGTCTTGAGCTTTGGGTAATGACCGGAAGAACCAGCTAGCGGATACAAGCGGTCGAAATGAGTTTCCTCTGCAGAGTGGCTGGGCGCTCCCTAAGATATAGAGTGAGGAGCTCAGTCACACGGGAGGAGCTCGGAGTAGAGCCGCTGCTTCTCCACGTCGAGAGGAACCAGTTGAGGTGGCTCGGCCATCTGCTCTGGACGCCTCCCTGGGGAGGTGTTCTGGGAACGTCCAACCGCGAGGAGGCTCCGGGGAAGACCCAGGACACGATGGAGGGACTATTGCTGCTTTTCCATAGTCAAGGTATGGCACGGTACAGCGCGGCCGAGTCTGGGTGCTTTTCCATAAAAAATGGAACCTCCAAGTTTCTCCTCAGCGTGGGAGGGGTTGTCAAACCATGTAATTTATGCGCGACGTGTAACTAGTAACATTGGTCTGATGCATCACTTTTTGTCATTTGAAATTAAATGTTTTTATTGAGTTCAATACATAACTTAATTATTTAAAATACATGTATATTGTAAATCTAAGTATCAACTCGAAAAGGAGAGAGAAGTAAAAAAGGTATATATGATAAAAATTATATGCCTAAACATCTATTTTTTCCCCTTGTGTTTTTATCAAAAATAAAACCTTTTTGTATTTAGCAAATATGTCTCCATCCTCGTTCATAAATTAACCACGGTATATACGGATTTACTGACAAACATAATGTATGTAATGTAAATAGAAGTATAAGTTTGGTAGGAAATCGTAACTTTTGAACCCCTTTTATGCATGTGTACAGACAAATGAATGAAACAAAGTCTTGATACGATCACAGATTTATTATAAACCAAAGTAAAGTGCAAAACCATCAATTTACAAAGTCCAAAGTACGTTTGAGACCAGGTCCCAAATATTAAGTACTCCGGTCACTCATTGCTCGTTTGTGGGAAGGGATTCTCGAACAAATAAATATACACACAACTTAAGTACAAGCACAAAACAGAATGGCAAAACGTGAAATAGCAAAATACAGCACACTAGCGCAGGAAGGACATTTTAGCTTAGGTTGCTATCGATAGCTAAATGTTGCTAGCTCACTATGTACAACCGACTATTGTTGTATCTTCCCCTCAGCAAAAGATGGGGTTTCCCGCACAAACTATGTAGTGTTGGAGAAGGAATGCACTTTGAGTTATGTATTAAAGAAAGAGTTTAATGGCATAATCAGAATACATCAAGTCAAATTCAGGCTTAGCGCTTTCAGCCTGGGTCAGCTCCGAAAATGAGGATGGTAAGAATGACAAAGAACACACTAAGCACAGAGCTCTTACGGATGCGCTATGGCAGGATGTAATAAATACACGTCATTCAATAATATTGTGGACTAGTCCTGGTTAATCTCCATATCTCTGAGTCTGTCTTCCCTGAGGGTCTCTCTACTGGCTCTTATTGTGATTACAGTGATGAAGGAAGCAAGACGCAAAACACACTGGACCATCAGCTCCAATTAACACCATCCATTCACTCTCTCATTTACATTCATAACTATTGTGCATGTTTTTAGTGGTAGGGGAAACCAGAGCACCTGGAGGAAACCTATGCAGACACGGGGAGAAAATGCGAACTCCACTCAGAAAGAACCTGTTCCAACCGGGATTCGAACCCAGGACCTTCTTGCTTAGAGGGGAGAGTGCTATCCACTTGCTGAGTGGCTGACTATCCACCGTGCCAAGAGTGGACAGCACTCAGTCAATTAAAATGATCGTATCAAACTACATTCTCTCATTGTGATGTTTAAAGCCAAATTCTCTTTCTCTCTCAAATCCAACCAGGACAGAATGAAACAAGACTTCTCTGTCCCTTTGGCCAGAACCAGAAACACATGGGAAAATTAACGGCTGGAGTCAAACTGTGGAATCAACTCTAATATGAAATAAAAAGTTGTGCAAACATAATCATTTAGCAATAAACAGACATTAAGAAAAGGGCAGGCAACATGATATGTTTCCTTCTCTCTACTCACCACAATTATTTGAAATGCAACTGTAAAATGTGGTGTATTGTCATGTCTTCAATTTAAATAAACAACATAAATAAACCCCAAAAAAATGTTCTGGAGTGAGGTATTCTTCTTCCTGATTGGTTTTTCTCCTCAGTGTTTACTTCAGGAAAGTAAACACTTTCAGCCGCGCTGTGCCGTGCCATACCTTGACTATGGAAAAGCAGTAATAGTCCCTCCAGCGTGTCCTGGATCTTCCCCGGGGCCTCCTCCCGGATGGATGTTCCCAGAATACCTCCCCAGGAAGCCGTCCAGGAGGCATCCTGAACAGATGCCCGAGCCACCAAAACTGGTTCCTCTCGACGTGGAGAAGCAGCGGCTCTACTCTGAGCTCCTCCCGTGTGACTGAGCTCCTCACCCTATCTCTAAAGCCTAGCGTACATCGGACTGGCAACTGATTATATCCGTCGCCTCTGAGTTGCTGCCCCGCACACATCGACAATCTGGCGAAAACGGGCAACTCTGAGTCGCAGGCCAGTCTCTTGAATAACAGCGCGTACATCGACAGCAACTGGCCTCAACTACAGTGTGTTTTCTGACAACAAACTGTTGCGGGCTCGCAATACACGCAATACACACACGTTGTTGGAGTGGCGCATGGAGCGCGCACATCGGGGCAACTGAGGACAACTAGTTGCCGAAAAGTAGAACACGGGCAACTGACTGGAACTGGAGACCGACTGATCATCTCCAGTTGTAAGAGCGCGCACATCGACCGATTTCGGCAACTGATCATCTCCCACCATCTCCTCTCAGTTGCCAAAAGCCGCCTTGCAACTAGTTGTCCCCGGTTTCTCTGTCGATGTACGCTAGGCTTAAGGGAGCGCCCAGCCACTCTGCGGAGGAAGCTCATTTCGATTTGTATCCGCGATCTCGTTCTTCCGGTCATTACCCAAAGCTCATGACCATAGGTGAGGGAGGGAACGAAGATTGACCGTTAAATCGAGAGCTTTGCCTTTCGGCTCAGCTCCCTCTTTACCAAAAAGGTCCGATACAGCGACCGCATCACAGCGCACACTGCACCGATCCTCCTTCAATCTCAAGATCCAATCTTCCCTCACTCGTGAACAAGACCCCGAGATACTTGAACTGCTCCACTTGAGGAAGGACCTCTCCACCCACCTGGAGAGGTGGCACTTTTTTCCGGTTGAGCACCATGGCCTCGGATTTGGAGGAGCTGATTTTCATCCTAGCTGCAAACCGTCCCAGGCTATGTTGCAGGTCCTGGTTCGTTGGAGCCAACAGGACATCATTTGCAAACAGACATGAAACTATGTGGTCCCCGAACCGGGGCCCAGAAATTCTGTCCATAAAGACGGTGAACAGAAGCAGTGACAAAGGGCAGCCTTGGTGGAGGCCAAAATGCACCGGGAACAGGTCTGACTTACTGTCGGCAGAGCGAACACAGCTCAGGCTCCGGTCGTACAGATCCCGGACCCCATACTCCCGGAGAACCCCCCAAAGGACACCCCGAGGAACATTGCCAACTGCCTTCTTCAAGTCCACAAAGCACATGTGGACCGGTTGGGCGAACTCACATGAACCCTCGAGCATCCGATGAGTATAGCACTGGTCTAGTGTTCCGCGGCAGGGACTAAAATCACACTGCTCCTCAATCCACGTTTTGACCAAAGTCTCTTCTCCAATCCCACCGAGGGATTGTATCTTTAATGTGTTTATGCCATGTGTCTTGTGTGGTGGTTTTTATAGTTTTATTCAACACATGGAGTTGCCGTCTGAATGAACTGTGGTATACAAAAACTTTCTGGGTGAA